GTAAACAGTCGAAGTAGATTATTCTATGTTGAATTGTTTAAAATACTTTCACAAATTTCGTGCCATATGAGGAAAAACGGTTTAGAAATGACTAATCAAGCTGGTAGAGCATTTTTTGTAAACCAACAGGTTGCTAATGTACTTTCACGTATTTTATGCCATTTTAGGTGAAAGGTTTTTACTATTGTCATATTGCATAAATTGAACCGGTAGATATCACTAAAAATTACTGTCATTCTGAAAAGTTGTTGATATTGTTTCCCAAAAAAATTACTTTAAGGACACTGAAAATGTGCCCTCAATTTTTTACCTTCCATTGATTCCTACCATTTATCAACTACTCATTGATGTAATGCTCAAACCCAAATTTAAGGTTTAAAAATCTTAAAATATTCTGAAACAATATTCAAAATGATTTTCTTTTGCAATGCATGTAAATGCCTTCGGTAAATATTTGACTTCTCATAGATTTCTAGTCAGTACAAAGATTTATTTACAAATAAGTATGACGTACTTATCTTCAAACGAGCTCAATAAAATATTTACAATAAACTGAAACATAACCGTTTTAAGATCTAAAAAAATATATACAATTTTTACATGTTTCCTCATTAATAATAACAATTAATTTTATTTTTTGATAAAATATAATTAACATACTTGTTGGTAATACACAAAATAATAAACAGAAAACCACTGCACTTGTCATTATTAGCTTTGTGTACTAACTGTTCTGGATTTGCAAATGATTGTTGCATAAACTTATCACATATTTATATTGTTTATAAATTGATTAATATAATTATTAGAGAGCATGCATATAAAATATAAGCGGAATTATAACAAGAGCCATTAACGAATGCATATGTATAAACAATAAATTATTCCTATCTATAAACAATAAATTATTCCTAGCTATAAACAATAAATAATTCATACCTATAAACAATAAATAATTCCTTAACATGATCATTGGACTCTATTTTTTATTTAGAAAGGAAAATGTAGAACGAATCATAATAAAACTAGGTTTAATTGGTATTTGTCTAAAGGAAGTTTCTTGAAACTCCTGATACATGCGTAGATAATCGACTTCAAAAAAATAAAAATTTAGTTTATTAGATAAAATTTTCAACCTTTTACTTCAGGATTTGAATTTTCTATTTTTATTTTATGACACTTGAATTTTCTACTAATCCTAAAGAAACGTCTCGGCCTTGCCCATCGTCTTGGAAAACTAATCAACCCAAGTCCTTATCGAGGTTTCTCTCACTATATTAAATATATGGTCTTAGACGATTCAGAATGACTCCTGAATTTCTAAACTAGTCCTAGTCCTTATCGAGTTTTATCGATAAGGTTTTAAATATTTTTTTTATATTTAATTTATTCTGCAATCTGTTTTACATGAGCATTAGCATTAAGCAGAAATTGCTAACAATAAATATCTTACAATATAAACCAGAAGATAGTAGCAACCAGCGGCGAGTCTACTATGTATATATAGGTTTTAAATATTTGGTCTCAAACGATTCAGAATGACTCCTGAACTTTTAAACTTACCTTCGAGACTAAATAAAAAAAGTTGCAAACTAGTTGGTTTGGTATTTAGCCTTGAGGCAAGTTACATGAACTTCCCGATATGTGTAAATAATCGACTTAATAAAAAAAAAGTGTAAATAATATTCTTTATCAATCCTACTTTGAAAAAAAACGATAATAATTTTAGCAAACTTTGACGAATTTGTAAAATTAAACTACTTGTCGTAAGGCCATAATATTACAGTAAGTTCTATAAGACCATGATGTATATCGCCAAAAAAAGTGCCATGAAAATCGGCTTAAATTTTTTTTCAACAGTTAATTACAAGAAAACGGCTCGGTAGATTTTCACCTAAAATTAATCAGCATCATTCCCAAATGATATCTTTCGAACAGTTTTTGATTTTTTAAAATCGGTTCGGTAGGATGAGCTTAAATGTGGACGAAAATTTAACACTTTTTTCAACAGTTAATTACAAGAAAACGGCTCGGTAGATTTTCACCTAAAATTAATCAGCATCATTCCCAAATGATATCTTTCGAACAGTTTTTGATTTTTTAAAATCGGTTCGGTAGGATGAGTTTAAATGTGGACGAAAATTTAACACTTTTTTTCAACAGTTAATTACAAGAAAACGGCTCGGTAGATTTTCACCTAAAATTAATCAGCATCATTCCCAAATGATATCTTTCGAACAGTTTTTTGATTTTTAAAATCGGTTCGGTAGGATGAGCTTAAATGTGGACGAAAATTTAACACTTTTTTTCAACAGTTAATTACAAGAAAACGGCTCGGTAGATTTTCACCTAAAATTAATCAGCATCATTCCCAAATGATATCTTTCGAACAGTTTTTGATTTTTTAAAATCGGTTCGGTAGGATGAGCTTAAATGTGGACGAAAATTTTAAACACTTTTTTTCAACAGTTAATTACAAGAAAACGGCTCGGTAGATTTTCACCTAAAATTAATCAGCATCATTCCCAAATGATATCTTTCGAACAGTTTTTGATTTTTTAAAATCGGTTCGGTAGGATGAGCTTAAATGTGGACGAAAATTTAACACTTTTTTTCAACAGTTAATTACAAGAAAACGGCTCGGTAGATTTTCACCTAAAATTAATCAGCATCATTCCCAAATGATATCTTTCGAACAGTTTTTGATTTTTTAAATCGGTTCGGTAGGATGAGTTTAAATGTGGACGAAAATTTAACACTTTTTTTCAACAGTTAATTACAAGAAAACGGCTCGGTAGATTTTCACCTAAAATTAATAAGCATCATTCCCAAATGATATCTTTCGAACAGTTTTTGATTTTTTAAAATCGGTTCGGTAGGATGAGCTTAAATGTGGACGAAAATTTAACACTTTTTTTCAACAGTTAATTACAACAAAACGGCTCGGTAGATTTTCACCTAAAATTAATCAGCATCATTCCCAAATGATATCTTTCGAACAGTTTTTGATTTTTTAAAATCGGTTCGGTAGGATGAGCTTAAATGTGGACGAAAATTTAACACTTTTTTTCAACAGTTAATTACAAGAAAACGGCTCGGTAGATTTTCACCTAAAATTAATCAGCATCATTCCCAAATGATATCTTTCGAACAGTTTTTGATTTTTTAAAATCGGTTCGGTAGGATGAGCTTAAATGTGGACGAAAATTTAACACTTTTTTCAAACAGTTAATTACAAGAAAACGGCTCGGTAGATTTTCACCTAAATTAATCAGCATCATTCCCAAATGATATCTTTCGAACAGTTTTTGATTTTTTCAAAATCGGTTCGGTAGGATGAGCTTAAATGTGGACGAAAATTTAACACAATTTTTTTCAACAGTTAATTACAAGAAAACGGCTCGGTAGATTTTTACCTAAAATTAATCAGCATCATTCCTAAATGATATCTTTCGAACAGTTTTTGATTTTTTTAAATCGGTTCGGTAGGATGAGCTTAAATGTGGACGAAAATTTAACACTTTTTTTCAACAGTTAATTACGAGAAAACGGCTCGGTAGATTTTCACCTAAAATTAATCAGCATCATTCCCAAATGATATCTTTCGAACAGTTTTTGATTTTTTAAAATCGGTTCGGTAGGATGAGCTTAAATGTGGACGAAAATTTAACACTTTTTTTCAACAGTTAATTACAAGAAAACGGCTCGGTAGATTTTCACCTAAAATTAATCAGCATCATTCCCAAATGATATTTCGAACAGTTTTTGATTTTTTAAAATCGGTTCGGTAGGAGGAATTAGCTTAAATGTGGACGAAAATTTAACACTTTTTTTCAACAGTTAATTACGAGAAAACGGCTCGGTAGATTTTCACCTAAAAATTAATCAGCATCATTCCCAAATGATATCTTTCGAACAGTTTTTGATTTTTAAAATCGGTTCGGTAGGATGAGCTTAAATGTGGACGAAAAGTTTAACACTTTTTTTCAAATTGCAAAGAAAACGCTTGCAGATCGTCGCACAAAACTGACAAACGATAGTCCCCACCGAAATACATCAAATGGTTTTAAATTTTCAAAATCGGTTCAGGGTTTTTGAGAAAACGTCGATCACAAGTCTACATTTTGACAAATGCCAAAAAAACAATACCAATTTTTGCAAACTTTGACTAATTTTCAAGCTGAACCAGTTGTCGTAGGGCCGTAAATTTTGTATGATCTAGAAGACTAGGTATCTCCGTCAAAAAAAATAATCATGAAAATCGTCGAAAATTTTTTTTTTTAAACTTTATTACAAGAAAACGGGCCCGGCCGATCTCTACCAAAAACTAATCAGCACGATTCCCGATCAATATCTTTCTAATCAATATCTTTCTAACGGTTTTGAATTTTCTTAAGGTTCAGAATTGCGGGCTAAAAACGTGCACGAAAATTTTTCACTTTTCTGCTATTTGTAAAGAAACGTCTCGGCCGATCGTCCCACAAAACTGACAAACGATAGTCCTCGTCGAGATACATCGAAGAGCTTTTAAATTTTTGAAATCGGCCCAGCCGTTTTCGAGAAAACGTCGATTTACGGCAAAAAATCTGTTCACACACACATACACACACACACACATACACACACACACACATACACACACACACATACTTTTTCCAAATTTGGTCTCATTCGATTCAGAATGGCTTGAAACGTCGAGAAAACATAAAATTAGAGAATCGGATTTTTTGATGAAAACATAAACTTCTCCTTCGGGAAGTTAATAAACATATGTTGTCATTATGTAATTCAACTTATGTTGTCTCATATATATCTTATTTTGACTTCATATACTTTAAGAACACATATGAAATTCAATACAACAGTTGTTGTACATATGGTATTTAATACCATATCATAGAACATATGTGATATTTTGAAACACAAATGCATTTGCCTATCATTGGCTGCACAATTTGTAAATATTATTGTGAATTTAATTTGCATATCTTTTGTTTCAGGTTGCAGAACTGTTGGTGATATAAATAAATCATGCGTCGTCCATGAATCGTATTATAGTAAGCTTTAAAAATGGCTGTAAATATTATTTTTAAAAGTTGTACATATTTTTTATAGTGCATATTGTACTTATGATTAGCATCACAGTTTCTCAATGTAAGATATATATATTTTATAAAAAATTACAATATTTAATAGAAAATAAACACATTTTAATTATAATAGTAATGTTTAAATAAATTTGAACGCTATTTGCAAATCATTTATAAATTTGTTTTGTATGGAAATAGCATGAAAATTTTTTCAAAAATTTTGCAGAGCGTCGAATTTTCAATAAAAAATGACCCAAATTCTTACCTAGATAAGCTAAGTTATACCTAAATTTTTTTTTTACTTTTCAAAAAAAATTTCTATATTTCCATACACAGTTTGATTGAATTGCGTACTATCTGAAAGTTAATGTTTAGAGTTAAAACTTTCAGAGAATTGTTTTTTATCAATTTGAAACCATTTGAGCCCTTGGGAGCAACGAAATTCGAAAATGTTCATAATAAGGACCACTCTAAAATATATTTACATATATATCATATGGAGGCTATAGACCTTATAATACATAATTATAAGGTCTATGTATGTATGGGGCTAAAAATTCAAGTTGTTAGAGTATGAATATTAAAAAAAAAATTAAAATTATATTATTATAAAACTATATTTAAGAGATAAAAATTGTTACTTTATTATCAATCAAAAAGCGTTAAAGCTTAGCATCAATATCATATATTAGTCGCAGACTAGGAATTAAAATCATTTTTGCTAGTTCAATATGTGGTCCATAGGATTTATATATTTTATAGTGTCTTTTAGTAACAAATTTCACAAGTTTTTCATTGATTATAATTGGTTTAGTACATATATATATATATATATATATATATATGTATATATTAATTGCAACTAATTTGTTCGAATTTATTTATCTTAACATGTGTGAAAGTATAGTCCATATAAATAATAAATAAATAAATACATAAATAAATAGTGTTCAGTACATATATTTCAATTTCAACTAGTTTGTTCGAATTTATTTATCTTAAGTTGTGTGAAACTACGGTCCATTATAGCATGAATTTTTTTTTTTTTAACTGTCAAAATAATATTTACAAATATGATATAATCTTTTGTGATAAATTTAAAAAAAATACGACAATAAACTCTGACCCCGGTGCAGTTTTAATCTTTCTCACGCTCTGCGCTACATATCATCCATACTATAGCAACATATATGTGTAATGGTTTAAATAAATATTTAAAATAGTTAATTAATTTTATAACGCGACATAAATTGTTAAAATAATAAGTATTATATCTACATTTATTTACTCATTCACATAAATGAATACTTTTATCTTTATTATATTAAAAATGAAATTATAGTTCATAAAATTTGAGAATCATAATTTTTCTTATTGATGCAGTTATATATACAGTTAATAAATGTTTAAAAGTGTGTCATAAATAGTGATAATAATAAGTGTAACTAAATTACAAATTAGAGGTTTGAAAGGATAAAAGCAAATTTAATAATACCATTTTTTGTAACATTACAAGTAAAATAAATAAGAGATGAAAGGGCTTTAGAAAATATGACCAGACACCTTAGATATAATATATATATATATATATATATATATATATATATTTAATTTAAGTTTAAAAGTCGGGCGTTACATAAATAAAAATAGTATGAGAGTTTTTAGAAGTTTACTTAAAATATATAAGTTTTAGCTAGCATCTCAGCCTTCATTTAGTGGCAATCAATATAACTATATCAATTAGAACTAAACAAATAATATGTAAGAAATTTCATAGAAAAACAACAATAATAATAATAAAAGTAATGAAAAACACTGTTATATTAGGATACAAAATTGTAAGGGTTTTTTTATTACTATTTTTAATATTATTGTTTTTCTATGAAATTTCTATGAAATATATATTTATTGAAAAAATATTCATGGACAATTTTTTTCATTGCAATATCTGTTACAACTGCTAAATAATGTAAAATCTAAGTAACATTAATTAACAATAACATAATTATAAACAAAATGAGTACTAAATAAAGGATAGTATTTTCAATAAAATGATATCCGTAATATGATGATTTAATATAAAATAAAAGCAAATAATAATAATAGTAAAATTAACATTAATTAACAATAAGATAAATATAACAGAATAGAATACTAAATAAAGGATAGTATTTTCAATAAAATGATATCCGTAATATGATGACTTAATATAAAATAAAAGCAAATGATAATAAGAAAATTAATAAATAAAATTAGTGAATAATAAAATAATACTAGAAAACAATAATAATAATAATAAAATTAGTAAATAAAATTAGTGAATAATAAAAATAATACTAGAAAAACAATAGAGTGGAATAAAACAATAAGTGACAAATAATAATAAATATAACAAAATAATCAATATTAGAAATAATAAGATAATAATGGTAATATAATAATAATTATAATAATAATGTAATAATAATAATAATAATAATAATGTAATAATAATAATATAATAATAATATAATATAATATAACAATATTAATAATATTAATATAAATGGCTAGTTATGAAATCACAATTATTAATACATAATTATGAAATTTGAATAATCCGCTAAAGTTTGACATTCCGCGTGCAATATCTTTTATTTCTGCTGGCAACACTGTTTTGATTACCGACCTTGTGTGTTTCTTGTTTTTGTCGTAAATTTAGCATGTACGTATCTGAGAAAATTTTGATCGAATATTGTGACTGTGTACAGAATATGTGATATTGAAACGTTTTAAATATGTACAGAAATACTAAAGTGCGATCAAAAATAATCGAGTTTATATAATGTCATATTGCGCATATTTTTGCTATAGTGCAACTCATACTTTGGACATATCCTTCTATGTTGGTTGATTTATGATATTAATTGATTATTCACGTTACAGACAATTATGAAATTTGAATAATCCGCTAAAGTTTGACATTCCGCGAGCAATATCTTTTATTTCTGCTGGCAACACTGTTTTGATTACCGACCTTGTGTGTTTCTTGTTTTTGTCGTAAATTTAGCATGTACGTATCTGAGAAAATTTTGATCGAATATTGTGACTGTGTACAGAATATGTGATATTAAAACGTTTTAAATATGTACAGAAATACTAAAGTGCGATCAAAAATAATCGAGTTTATATAATGTCATATTGCGCATATTTTTGCTATAGTGCAACTCATACTTTGGACATATTCTTCTATGTTGGTTGATTTATGATATTAATTGATTATTCACGTTACAGACCTAGACCATTGCACCAGGTATGTAGAAAATATTTATTACGATTAAATTACAAGTAGGTTCAAAGAGTCGTAGAGATTCTATAATATACTTACAAATTCTTGAGCATGTAGTATTCATCTTAACTTTCTGCTTTTCAAGTATTAGTTATATAAATTAAAATAGAAAATATATACATAGTCCATGTCGATATATAATTTAGATTGCTCATGAAGGTATATGAGAAACTCTTCTACAAATTTCATGTATCTTCTATGAAATATGTTTACAATTTTTCACTTGGATGCAAAATGGTTTTCAGAAGTTATATTCTTAGTTTATTGGTCAAATATTAATCTTTATATACTATTTAGGTTTATAATATATATATATATATATATATATATATATATAATCCTTATATAAGTAACCCTCCAAATTATGCTGTAAAACAAAGTTTTTGATCTTATTTTGATAGAAAAGTTCTGAATTGTAAGTCGCATTGTTTTGTTTTATACTGCATTGTTTTATATATCAATTATAAATTTTAAATATTTATCGTAATATATATATATAGCAATTCAATTATGTTATGAGTATGTAATGATTCATACATTTCTTTACGTTAGTTAGTTACAATTCCCACTACTTCTTTATCATATTTACCCAACTTATCAACTTATTTCAATTTCAAGATTGTTGAAGAGTTTCGTTGTATGCCTGCTCACTTTGGGGATAGTCTTCCCACAAATGGCTTGAGAGGCTTTGCAACCCACGCTAGTCCAGCAGATGGGTGCTCCCCAATGCGTAGGCCTCCAAATGTAACTGATAATTTTACTGGAAAGTGGATAGTATTAGTAGCAAGGTAAATGTGAAGTAGAATATTTGGATAATCCAGACACAATTTAATTAATTATATATTTAATTTTAAGATAAATAGAAATATAATGTGCTAGTTTCAAATGTACATTGAATACTAGATTATTTTCTTTAATAATAATTTTGTTTTTTAGATATAATTGTTCATTTGAAGATAAGGTGAGAAATGCTCAGAATGCAAATTACGATGCTGTAATTGTTTATAATATTAATAGCAGTGATTTAGGTATTTCATCATATTATAAAATAATGAAATATAAAAGAGCTCATGCGTGATACTTTTAAATTATTATATTAATTTATAAAATATTATATATGAAATACTACAAAGTGTATTGGTTATATAATTATATTCTTAAAACCTTGTGACTATCTAGCTAAAGATTTAATATATAAATTTATATTAATTTAAATTCTGTTAAATCATTCATGGGCTTTTACTGAATGATTATTGATAATATTACATATGCTATGTTAATACAGAGCCAATGTCGGCTAAGAATCCAGTAGGAATCCGGATCCCATCAGTTTTGTTGGTGAAGAAACAGGACGTATCATAATTTACAATTATGAATATGAGGAGAACTATTTTCTTATCATAAATTCTGACTTGCCATTTAACATTAACACACACTTATTGCTTCCATTTGCAATAGTGGTTGGTTTGTGTTTTTTGATTATGGTAGCATTTATGATAGTAAAATGTGTAAGAGAAAGAAGACGTTTGCGTCGTCATAGATTACCTTCTAGTGCACTGAAGAGAATTCCAACATGTAAATTTACAAAAGGCGATGCATATGAAACTTGTGCTATTTGCTTAGATGATTATATTGAAGGGGAGAAATTGAGGATACTGCCTTGTTCTCATGGTAAGTCAAATATTATTAGTTATTTTTAGTACAATAATCTCTTCAATATTAAATATATATCTGGCAATATGCATCTATTAATTGACCTTAAATTCCAAATTATGCATCATTTAAAACCTTTATTATCAGTATATACTCTATATTTTTATAAATACAGTGTTGTTATTTATATATCAGCATATCACTGCAAATGCATTGATCCATGGTTAACCAAGAATCGGAGAGTATGCCCAGTTTGCAAACGAAAAGTTTTCGGCCGTAACGAAACCCGCACGCGTTCCGGCAGCTCCTCCGAGAGTGATGCTGATGACACCACCCCACTGTTAAATCCAGTAGCTAATAATCATGGAACATTCACCGAAGGTGTTCATAATATGTTTCGCCGGTCAGCCTCAGAATCAGCCCTCTCTAGTCGACCATCTTCTGATTTAGGGGAATCAAGTTATAATAGAAATTATCCGCGTGGGGAAAATAATGATGATAATAGATTAGCTAATGTTACTTCAGATGGCATAAGAAATAGTGGCGATAGTCCGTCATACCAATCAGCAGATGGGGACAAAGATTCTCATTGCAGTATCCCCATGCTACACAGTAACAATGTTATGAATCCTTATCTAAGCGGCTCCTTTGCCGAATCCGATTCATTTCTCATGCAGGAACAAATCCAAATAATTTATCTAATGCCCAAAGTCATCACTCTTTAAACTCGGGTCGAGTTGAAGTGGTAGCATTGCCAAATAATAATTTCAATCATTCGAGAGACAACAATCATTCGAGAGACAACGATGATTTTTTATATAAAGTATCTCAAAGTTTCTAAAGAGACTATGAAGTTTTATTTGTGATTGAATCTAACATAAGTGATTGTATATATACTATAAAATAGGATATGTGGAAAATAAATATTATAAATGTAAGCCGTAGGTTAGACCTAAGAAATTTCAATTAATTTTATTGTACGAGTATATGCTTTTTATTTAAAACTAATTGACAAAATGTATGATCAATTTATATTTGAATTTTTATGAATTCCAATTAATAAAATATGAACTTTAATTGCACGTTTTAATTCTTAATATTTTACAAGAATCACTTTTGAACAATCAGCCTACTTGAATGTTAGTAAATAATAAATAATAAAATAGCTATTATTTAATAATATAATTTATTTCTTATGCAGGTGTTCATAACATTAGAAGTTACAATAAATATTTATTGTCTAAATGTAAAAATAACTTATCTAGAATAAAATCTACATAATTATACATTCAAAATTAAAGCTCCTAAAGTATCAAATATATTCAACAATCACATAGTTTAGAAAACATAAAGCAGTTTTAAAAATATTATGAATTTTATATGATATATAAATATATTTGTGTGTCATTCAGTAGGCTTTAACATAATCCATATTTCTTAAAGCCTAGGAACAAGCAGAGATTCGATGTTTGTACTTAATATTATTGTGTTGAATCATTAATTAGAACATATCCATATCCATACTGGAACCGCTGTATAGGAAATCGAATAACATCTCTGGATCTACGTGGACATCTGGATCAGATTTGAAACTCCTGCCATTTCTCATTTCTTCGAAAGTTCCATCAAAACTGTCGTCCGTGTTGAATCTTTCGCGAACATCTTTCATGACGCATGCTTCCAATTTTTTGTGCTAGAAATAATAAAATGAGGTCAACTTATAATTATTTGATATATTAATTGAATTATGTCGAGTGTATGACATTAATCCTACAACATGTTGAAGTATGCATATCCATATTTTGACAAAATTTGGGAATAATTTGTATTATTATTTATTGTCTGAATTGGTTTAGTTCTGGTTTTAAATAATTATATTTTTAAGTTTTTTCGCAGGATATGAAAATGTGCAGGCTTTATTTGTATATTGGCACCATTGATATGTGAAAGCAACCCTATGAATTATGTTTGGTGTCAGTGATGGTTGGTATCAGTGACTTATTGTTAGAACAAAAATGTACCTTATAACATCTGAAGAAGAACATTGGTTTGATTAGTTCACGCGAAAGAGGCGACTTGTCAGGTCTTGTCTCCGGCACGCATTGCTGAAAAATATAAATAAAAGTGATTAGAAAAAAATATATAATAAACATATTAAAAAATGAATTTAAAAGTTGTGACAGTGTCAAGTGAAGGGAGAAGATACTATCGTCGCTGCGGCAAATGTAAGTTATTTATATTTTTGACATTTGATATTTGCTTTATTGTTTGTTTATTTTGCTTATTATACCTATTGTTCGTTATTAAAACGAAATATCTAAATTTATTTATTTATTTATAATTGTCTTTTATAAAATTTCTATGCGATATACAATATTATCTTATTCAACAAATTCGATTATTTAAAAATTGTAAATAAAGAAAAATCGATAGAATATCTTCTAGCAGTAATATGATACAAATCATAAGTCAAATCCTTAAATGAACCGAGTTTGCAATTAGCAATGGATCTGCTTTTGTACTAAATGCTTTGGAAAAAGAACAAATTTCAATGTTTTTACCAAATTGAAGAAATATGTTCAAATATCTATTGTTAGTTGTACAATTATCTAAGCTTAGGCAGTCGCTTTACATAGAAATCATTGTGATATCAAATTTGATTCCAAATCTATCATAAAAAATTTAATGCCAAACCGAGATTTTAAGCCTTCGGGCAGAGAACGTAAATACTAACTTACCGACAGTTTATTTTCGCTTAAAAATTTGATTTGCTAATTTTATGATTTCTCGACGTTTCAAGTCATTCTGAATCGAGTGACACAAAATTTGGAAAATGAATGTGTCCTGTGCGTGTGTGAATATGAGCCGATTTTTTACCTCTCGTCAATGTTTTCTCAAAGAAGGCTGGACCGATTTATAAAATTTAAAATCCATTTGATGTAACTCGATAAGTACTAGCGTTTGCCAGTTTTATGTGATGATCGGCCAAGCCGTTTCTTTGTAATTTGCAGAAAAGTAAAATTTGTTGTCCACGTTTTAGTCCACAATCTTGAACCGATTTTGAAAATTCAAAATCTGTTCTAAAGATATTGGTCGGGTATCGCGTTAATTACTTTTTGGTAAATATCGGCCGAGCCGTTTCTTCGTAATTAAATGTTCAAAAAAAAAAATTTGGACGATGTTGATGAAACTTTGTATAACGATTGATTTCGTAGTCTGAAGCAACATACTAAAATATTATAGGCCTACGGTAAGCGGTTGAATTTTAAAAATTCGCCAAAGTTTAGAACTTCGCCGTGGGCTTCAGGGATTCTAATGAGAATCTATGCCTAAAATTCATAATTTGATGTTGAATTTTTTTTTGCGATTTTGATGAAACTTTGTATGATGATAGATTTCATAGTCTGAAACAACACACTAAAATATTATAGGTCTTTATTTAAGCATTTAAATTATAAAAATTCGCCCAAGTTTAGAATATCGTCTCGCGCGCTTATGCGATTTTAAGGAGAATCTATGCTTTTCGCATGCTTATGTAGGTTCTGTGTACTGTAGGTACTACTGATTACAGTTTACGTTGACACTTAAATAAAATTATACGAATCAGAAGTTTATGAAATGAGATTTGTTAAACAAATTAATTTAATTTATATAATTACATATATTATAAGTAGGTATGTTTGAAAGTCATCATTTGAAAATCGCATTGATTAATTTTTAGTGAAATTGAAAGCAGTTGAACATTTACTTCAACGGCTGAATCTTGATTAAGCTGATATCGTTTAAGATGATCTCTAACTTGCCTTAACGTTTAAGATGATCTCTAACTAGTTGTAAGAAGCAACTTGCCTTACAGCAAAATGCTTCTTACAAATATTTCTTATTATTATTACCGAGAATTTCTGACAATAGTCGAGTCCTTCCAACATGTCTTCCTTCAAGTCTCTGTGCACAGGCAATCCTGAAATGCGACGTGCAATCTTTTCAACATTTGGTTCCAAATTTTCGTCCAAGTAGCCCAATTCTTGCATGACGCAAGTAATATTGTGTGCTCCTGCACTGACGGCAGCCGATTGAGCAACCCGGGACGCCGCTAAAACTTCGTGTTGTCTATCGCGGTAGTCCATATCGCGCTGGGAAATAAATTATTAGAACGGTTGCTTCTAGGGAATGCAATACCGATAAAAAATTTCAATACCGGTATTTCGGTAATTTTTCATTTTAGAAACGAAATACCGGTATCTTTTATTATCTTCATCTTAAACAAATGTAAACAAAATTGAAAGTTACTAGTACAAATATAAAAAATATACATACAATTACAACTACAGTCGGTCAAGTAAGAGCGTGGTCGACTTTAACGACAGTTAATGAAAGATTTCGGTCTAATTCTTTCGTGAGCCAATAAAGTGAAGCTTTGTACTTGATGCATTGTCAAAAAAGGTTTAGTTGCAGTTGATCTTTTGAGAAAAAATTACGTTAAATGCCATGAGTGCTAAGTTACGCGTCGCGCTACGAGGCTGCGCCCTTTTGCATGCACCTAAAAGGTACCCAAATGTAGCAATCAGCTGCTGCTAAATATATGAAAAAGTTGAAGGCATTTGTACAGAATTCGATACACCTATATAAAGTTGCTAAAAAAGTCGATGATTTATCAGAACGTGATTCAAATAAAAAAGAAGAAAAAAGAACAGTGAATGGGTATTTGCGGAATCCTGCTTTAACACTGCAGCAAGGACGAGCAAAATTAATGGCAAAATGTTTAGAAATATCTACAAAAATATCTACAAAACTATCTGAACCTTTCTTCGTATTCATGATCTGAAATGGCGCAACACAACGGGGAAGCCTCTGACGACTGAAAAACATGTGCTTCTTTTCCGCTTGGGCACATGAAAATATTGTTAGAGATTTTGAAAATGTCATTTTCACTGATGAAAGTTCTATATGAGCACGTACTGTCCTCATCGAGCCGTTAAATTAAAATACGAGCCGTTGGACTAAAATAATCCGTTAAATTAGTAAAAAGCAGGCGTCGGAGATGCCAGGCAATTGTCGACTCCGGTGGTGACTGGACACATATTAACTAAAATTGCATCCTTGCTTTTAACGTATACAATGCATATATAAATATTAAAGTTTCATAAAATAATTATTTTTATAAATTAACCCGACCACGCTCTTACTTGACCGACTGTATATTCAACTAAACAATAAGTTTATTTCTTTAATAATAATTTAACAAAATTATATCTAATTTAATTAACTCATAATCAGTATCGAGTATATTGAGTTCTCTTTACCAAAATTAAACGTATGAGTAAGAAAGACCAAAAACTCATACAAGATCATATTAGATTATTATAATAAACTGTATTATCTGTATCCGATTTAGCATAATTTCCAATATTTTAAAAAAATATTTTCATTTTTATTGAAGATGAAATAAACATCATTATCAGTCCGATTCTATTTATTGTAACGATAATTGTAACTATATAAAGCCTCTTGGAAAGCAATAAATATTCAGTCAGTTCAATGACTAGTCGAGGTAATATTATGATATTTGCTTATGTTTATGCCATTATGGAATTTAAAGATAAATTTGTTCCTAGAAATTTAAACTTGAGTGTAATATGTATCAAAATCGGACGGTATACCGGTATTTCGGTATACCGTTATACCGGTATTGCAGTCCCTAGTTGCTTCTATCTACCGCAAATAG